TGAAAAAATGGAAACAAAACCTTTGTAACTATAAAGGGTGGAGGTGTTGAAAGGAAGGCAGGGGAATGGGGAAAAATAAGAACCAAAATATATCATGTAAAGGTACAAATCTCCAATGATGAATGTCATTATATTGTATACCTGAAAGGTACCAATAAAATTAATTTTTTAAAAGAGAGAGGTTCTTTGGGCTGGGGATTTAACTCAGCAGTTCGGACCCGAGTTCAATCCCCGATACCAAAAACAAAAACAAAAAAGGAGAGGTTCTTTGGTTTATAGCAATTTTTGGGTTTTTGGATTTTTTTGGTACTGGGGATCAAACTCAGGACTTTGCTCTTGCAAGGCAGGCAGTTAGCGGAACCATTGAGGTAAAGCCTCCGCCCTATTGGTTTTCTGTTTTTGAGACAGGGTCTGGCTATGTAGTACAGGCTGGCCTTGAACTCACTCTTAGCCCAGGCTGGCCTTGAGTTCTCGTTGACCTTCCTGCCTCAGCCTCCCAAATGCTAAGATTACAGGTGTGCACCCCTACTCCTAGCAAGAAATGATGTTGTAATGCAGATTGGAATGACCCAGTCAGCAAAAGAAGGAAAGTGTCTGGAGTGAGGAGGAGGAGGCACAGCAGTCGCAGAGAGGACCAGCAGGCCCGTCCCCACAGCGAAGGAGTGGCTGAACACGCACCAAGCCGGGCAAATGATGAAGGTTGTGTGGGGGCCAGTGCTCTGCAGGTTGCATCTGTTTCCTCAGTGAGGTGGGAAGCAACGTCAGCTGAGAGCAGGACGTGAGCAGGAGGCGCTATCAGGACTGAGGAGACCCTGGTATGGCCTGACCTTGCAGGGGGACCAGGTCAGACAGAGGGACTGGCAGACAACACAAGGCTCCCTGCACCCCCAGGCTGGCAGGCTAATGTTAAAGTCAGCAGGGCTGTGTGGGTCTCTGGCTCCGCCAGCTTCTCGGGTTTAGGCAGGGTGTGGCTTGCCAGGTGGATGTGATTTAATGCATGGGGAGTAAGGGGGTTGAGGGTGTATTCAATGAAAGTAATTACAGTGATGGTCCAAGTCCCTAAGCTGACTGAGGAGGAAAGTCAGGACCCCAGGCAGAGACCCATTGGACTGAAGGTCCTGGTGGGTCAAAGAATTATTGGAGCTGAAGTTCTACAAGACATGAGCAGAAAGGAGGTCTAAGGAGGATTGGATACTGGATACCAAAATTATGCATGGTTGGGTGCAATTGTAGATGTGACAGCAGGTCTATCACCTTGGCCTTGACAGCGTGAGGCAGGGTGGAGGGCCTGAATGCTGGGAGGAGCTGTGCTCCTCCGCAGGAGAGGGCCTTCTGTGTGTCTGTGTGTCTGTGTGTCTGTGCACTCCCTAGGGCATCCTCAGAGGCAGGGCCCTGCAAAGGACCTGGGCCTGGGATTCAGCCAGACCTGGGTAAGAAGTCTCTTTCCGTCTGTGGGCCCTGCACAAATTTCTTAGTTTCTCTGAACCTGAGTTTCCTGTCCTGCGAAGCGAGAGCTTGCTCCTGTGCCAGAGGATTATATTCTGAAAACTGAACGAGCTTGTGGAAATCACCTGGCGTCGTTCCATGCACAGAGCAGGCTCAGTGTTGTAGGTGAGAATGTAGCCGCACAGCAATTCTCAAATGCTCTTGTCTGGGGTCCTAAAACTGAAATGGAGCCAATGTGGGGATGAAGGCCCTTCTCCTTTCCTGCTCCCTCAAATCATAGGAGGTATGAATGGAAGAGCCTGAGCCCTAAATGGTTCCTATTTTATAGAATAAGAAACTGAGGTCCAGGTAGGGAAAATGACTTGCCTGTACCACCGAGCCTCAGTTACCACACAGAGTAAGTCATCTTTTCAAATCAGTTGGAGTCATAATTACAATGGGAAGTTTGTACAGGGTTCCAGGGAGAGGCTCGCGTACAACATCAAAAAGCTAGTTGTACTCAGGATATACCCAGCCAAGATCCCTGCCCATTCACTGAGACAATTAAAGGCCGGGCTTGTTGAGAATGCGAGATCCTACTGGATATACCATTGCTCACTCTCGGCCTTCTGCATTCCCTGGTCACCCTCATTCACACTGGGCAAATATGGAAATCATCAGCTTTGGGAATTGAAGCGTCAACAGAGGAGTGATTCACAATGCTCAAATTTGCTAATTGCTTCTTCTAGCCCAGACAGAAGGAGTGAGGTAAAGAAATCTCAGAGCTTCATTAGAACCCTTGGTGAAGTGGTACAGCGCTAGCCAGCCCCCAGGAGGCTCTGGCCCTGCAAGGTTTCCAGCCCTGGCTAGTCCCCCTGAGGTAAATCCTTCATGCTTTTGACACCCAGTTTCCCTATTGAAAAATCGAGAAGAGGGTGAACAAAATGACTATCCAAGTTTCCCCTAGTTGGGGATTTAGCTCAGTGGCCCTGCCCCTGCCTTGCAAGCACAAGGTCCTGAGTTGGGTCCACAGTGCAAAAAAAAAGAAAAAAAAATCAAGTTTCTCCTAGCTGGGGCCTTCAAGGTTCTAGGAATGTGAAACCAGGCACCTTTTCTGCTGATTTTGCTTCCAGGACAAGCACAGACAGACAGGGCAGAGATGGAGCTGGCAGGAGTTGGCTCATGCCTGTAATTCGGGAGGCTGAGGTAAGAGGATCACAAGTTCAAGGCCAGTGTGGGGAAAGTCAGCAAGAAACTGCCTCAAGATGGAGCTGTTATGTAGCTCAGCGGCAGAGTGATTGCCTAGCATGTCTGAGGCCCTGGGTCCAATGCCTAGTACCACAAAAAATGAAGGAAGGAAAAAAAATGATGGAAGGAAGGATTACTCCATCAGGGAGGCCTCCCATGATCATGGCATCTTAGTTCACTGACTCTTTCCTATATATGCACACATGGTTGTTCTCTGTCTCATGATCCTGTTTTATGTTCTCCTTAGCACTATCTGAAGTGTCTCATTTGTTTCTTCACTACTGTCTTTCTTGTTTTGTTTTGTTTTGTTTTTGAGACAGGGTCTCACTATGTAGTTGAGACTGACCTGGAACTCACTATGTATCTCAGGCTGGTCTCGAACTCACAGCAATCCTCCTGACTCAGCCTCCTGAGTGCTGGGATTACAGGCATGTGCCACCACACCCAGCTTTCCACTACTGTCTTTCTGCACTAAAAAATTCTACAAGGACAAGGACCTTGCCTATCCTACCTCAGGGCCTAGCCCAGGACCCGAGACATAGTAGGTGATAGATAGATAGATAGATAGATAGATAGATAGATAGATAGATAGATAGATGATAGATAGATAGGCTAAAGAATGAAGTAACGGATGGATCTCATGAGTGGTGCCAGGGCTGTCAAGCATAACCCTGATCTGTGCCAACTCTTCTCAGATCAGTTGAAAAATAGGGCTCTGGAGTCAAGAGACTTGAATTCAAATCCCATAGTGCCAGTTAGTGGTTGCATGACCTTGGGTATATCAGTGGGCCTCTCTAAGCCTCTGTTTCTTTCTTTCTTTTTTTTTGCACTATCAGGGATTGAACTCAGAACCTTGCAAGGCAGGTGCAGTGCCACTGAGCTAAATCCTCAGCCCTGTAAGCCTCTGTTTATCTATAAATTGGGAATAATGACCCCACATCCTGAGGTGTCATCTTTTTAGGAATTAGAGGTTAGGTATGTAAAGTTACCTTGGGTACAGTGAGCATTCAGTAAATGTTAATTTCCTTTGCCCTCCATCTCTGCTGTGGAATCTGAAGCTATCTCAGCTAGCTCTAGGGTTTGGAGACTGGAGGAAGCCAAAGGGGATTTCTTATCTGTTTCTTATCTTTCAAAAGAAGGTAAAACAAAGGCACTGAGGACAGTGGGAAGGACTTGCCCAGGGTCACAGGGCCAAGCCTGGGTTCTCTCTCAAAGGACAACAGAAGCCCTGAGGCTTCTGATCTAGATAGAAGAGAGCCGAAGGACAAGGGCAAAGTCTGGCTTGGGCTGCCTCCAAGAAAGGACAGCAGCCTCATACTCCTGGGTTCCGGACCCCAGTAGGTCAGGGTCAGCTCCTGACCTTGGGACAGTTTCTAGGTCTTGGCTTCTCCTGTGAATCTGCCCTATTACTCCTTCCCATCTTTCCACACAGGAGGATGGGAGAATGTAAGGAGAATGGTATTTAATTTGACATATTAGTAGGAGAGTGACCTAAGTAAAAACATTATAATAATTAGTCAGAAAGACAATTTCTGAACTTTTGCCATAGCACATGTACTTAATATCAGAAAAAAATATTAATTCAAAGTAGCATGGGGTAGGAAGGAGGAGAGAAAAGGGATTAAAAAGAATTAAGATGTGTTGTGTACTTACACCCACTCCCCCATCATGTATATAATCATTATGTCCTGCCAAACATGTACTAATAAAAATTAAAAAGTAACAATAAGTCTCATCCTCTAGGCAAGTAAAACAGGAGAGAAAAACATGTAAACATAGTATCCATCTTCGGTCTAGCCCCAGAAAGGCCCTGGGTCCTGGCAGGTGCAGTGAAAAGGGGACGTGCCACAGAGTCTAGTTTCCCGAGTTCACGGTTGGAGCCTAAAACACTGGGGAAATCTCAGCCCCCTCTCTGAGATTTCTCCTTACCTAAAGAACGCCATGGGCCGGGGATTTAGCTCAGCGGTTCAGTGGCCTGCCTTGCAAGTGCAAGGACCGGAGTTCAATAGAAAAAAAAAAAAAAAAAAAAAAAAAAAAAGAATGCCACAGCCATCCTGGTTCGCAAGGGCCTGGCAAGAAAGTATAGAAGCCTCTGCCTCATTACAGAGAGTAATTTACCTTTCCTAATTTCTAGAGGCATATGACGTGGAGTTGAGCTAGTGACTCAATCTCTGCAGGACTAGGCTAGGTGATTTCTCAGTTTCTTCCGAAGCATATCTGAAAATCAATCAATCAATCAATCAATCTTAAGTGATCTGACTCCACTACAAAATACAGACCCTTTTCCTTCTGCCAGCCTCTAGACGGCGCCGTCCCTTTAAATTCAGACTCCCGCACTGACCTGGCCACAGGTGAAGCGGCTGGATGCACTCCTGAGCGAGCCTATTCCCATCCACGGGCGCGGCAACTTCCCCACGCTGAGCGTGCAGCCCCGGCAGATCGTGCAGGTGAGGGGGTGACCTGAGGGAGCCTGTCCCGATGCCCGGGTGCCTGGAAGGCAGCTGGAGCCTGTTCAGTTTTCTGGACAGCTGGGGAAACAGGAACGGTAATGGGTCCTGTAACAACTGCATAGTACACTAATGCTAGACCAGAGATCTTCCTTCTGCACCTAATAATCCTTCCCCACTTGATTTTTGGTCCTCCGCCCTGGGGAGCCTTGATTCCGACCCCTCAACTCCCACCACTGACGCAGGCCCAAGCATGGAGGAGAAGACTATAGAGGGACTCGCTAGGGAATCTCCTGGACTACATGCACAAAAGGTGTCAGGGACTCTTCCCATGGGTAGTGTGTTACTTCGGTCCAAAATAGCTTTTCCTCCACCCGGCATCCCAAGCCCACATCCCCTGTTCCTGACTCTAGATTGTAGGGGTACTCTGTCCTTGTCTACCACAGCCATTGGCTCAAGAACCCCTGGCTAGGTTAAAAAGACCAGAAATCCCAACAGAAACCCCCTCCCTCTCACTGGGGTTATGGCAAGAGATTAAGTGCCAGACCTGAGACCCCCATCCCTGAGGGCAGTGTTAAATATCTAACTGAGGTATCCTTTTTCCTCCTCAAGATTGGAAGTGAAGTGGACTGGGAATGTGGCTCACTTGAACACCTGCCTTGCATGCATAAGGTCCCAGGTGTGATCCTCACCTTGGGAAAAAAAAAAATTAAAGATTGGAAATGAAGGCCAGCCGAGGTCTCCACCCTAAGCCCATCTCTGTCTTAAGAGATGGGAGAAAATTCTGGCATCCCTTCCCTCCTTCAGACTTTTCCTTTTATCTGAGCCCTTCATCACTCCAACCCTGCCCTTACATCTGGGTAACCCAGGCACTATCATGGTCTGAAATAGCGAAGGATAGTAATTATGGCACTCATGTTATAGCTGAGGAAGAGGAGGCCTCAGGAGGGTGGTAAACAACCTAAAGTTACCTATTGAGGTAAAAATCCAGCTCAGGAAATCAGGACTTCCTGAGATCAGGGAGCAGCACATTCAAGATTTTGTTCCTCCTTCCCTGGCACCCAAGCTCAACAGCTAAGGCTTAAGGGAGTCCCCTGATAGAAACCAGAAAATCCAGTGCCGATTCCTATGTATTCCTGCCAGCACACGGACTTTCCATACAAGCTAGGTGTAGCAGGCCATTCCTCTAGCAGAGAGGTGGGAGATAACCTCCCCTCCCTCCCCAGGAACTAGGAACCGAATGGGCGGGGTGGATTCTCCTGGGCTGACTCACCCACAGCACCAGTGGGACTCACTGAGGCCTTCTGGCTGCCCAGGCATTCCTCACTGCCTGCTGTTATCTTGGTGGTTAGGAAACCAGCTGAGGCTTTTCTTCCTAGGACCTAGGTTCAGTCCTGGGGTGGGAGAGGTGAGAAGGTGGTATCCAGTGTGCCAGCTTCCTCTGCAGAGACAGCAGTGGTCAAAATTGCCCATAATAGGGCCAGGGATTTAGCTCAGTGGTTCTGTCCGCCTGCCTCACAAGCGCAAGGACCTGAGATCAATCCCTGGTACCCAGAAAAAAAAAAAGTTGACCATTGGTCCCTACCCAGTCCTAAGCCCCATGAAGGAGGCACCAGAGCACAGATGTGACTAGAACCTAGCCTCTTTTCTTTCCGGTGCTCTCAGCCGTGTGAGGGAGACTGCAGCTGGTAGGAGCTGACTTAACCATGTTGTAGTAGTACCGTGTCTTCCTTTCCTGGCATGGTGGCGCACCTGTAATCTCAGCCATTGGTAGGCCAAGGCTGGAGGATCGCCATGAGTTCAAAGCCAGCCTGAACTACATGTCCCAAACCCCCCCACAAAAGTCCTCCTAGAATAGGGTCAGAAACATTGCAGAACAGGGAGCCATCGGGTGTAGAGGGGTAGTGGTAGAGACTTCAAAGCTGGTGGAGAGGATGAATATCTGTTCAGGACTTGGATTCTTGTCAGTTGCCTTTTCGGAGTATAGTGGTATATGCCTGCAATCTTATCCCCAAAGTGAGGGAGTCTGAAACAGGAGGCTGTCAAGTTTGAGCCCAGCCTGAGCAATTTAATGAGGCCTTGCCTCAAAGGCGGGGGTCGGGCATGAGACTATAGCTCAGTATAAAGGCCCAGTACCAAGAGCAACAAACAAGAACCTTTCTGTTCCACAATTCAAAGGGAACGGGTGCATTCACCTGGCCCGTATAGTGCTTCTACACCAGAGAAAGTCTGTCTTCTGGCAGAAATTCACAGCTGACGCTGGGACATAGTGGCGCACGCCCGTAATCCATCACTTGGGAGGCTGAGGCATGAAAGGATCCTGAAAGTTCCAGGCTGGGCTACATAGTAAATGCAAGGCTGGTTTGAAATGCATAGTGACTCTCTCTCTCTCTCAAAAAAAAAAAAAAAAAAAAAAAAAAAAAAAAACAAAAAAAAAAAAAAAAAAAAAAAAAGGCCAGGGATTTAGCTCAGTGGCACTTCACCTGCCTCACAAGTACAAGGTCTTGAGTTTGATCCCTAGTACAAAAAAAATTTTTTTTTCACATCCGGGATATGAGCAAGGGGTATGTATGGGAGAAAGTTGCAGGCTAGTTAGGTCTCCTCACTGTGTTAAATAGTCAGTGGCTCAAGAATTGGCACCTTTAAACCAAGGGTTGGGCCAGGGATTTAGCTCAGTGGTTCTGGAGCCTACTTTGAAAGCACAAGGACCGAGTTCAATCCCCCGGTACCTAAAACAAAACAAACAAAAAGCCAAGGGTTGTGGCACACACCTTTAATCCCCTCACTCAGGAGGTTTAGGCAGGAGGATCACTGTGAGTTTGAGGCCATCCTGGAGTATAGAGCAAGACCCTACCTTAAAAACAAAACAAAAAACGAATTGGCACATTTCTTCCGCTGTACCTCAGAAGGCTTTGCCTACAACAGTAATCCCAGAAGTTAGAGATGTGTCCTAGCCTGTACATAGGCCAAGGGTACCCACCCCTTTTTATCCCCTCCCCACCCCCTGTAGCTCTGGAAGACCTGGTTCTAGTTAAGCTCAGCCAGTTATTAGCTGTGTGATCTTGGATAAGTCCGTTGCCATCTCTGGACCCGAAGAATTGGTCTAGACAGTCTAACCTCTCCAGCTGCCGCCAGAAGGCTAGCCTAGGGCAGCTCTGGTTGTGAGTTTTGCAAGCCTGCTGCCTGACAGCGGCTATTAGTCTTCCTGCAGGTCTCAGCAGCAGCCCTGGAGCGGAGCAGTTCTAGGGAGGGCCTTGGCATGGAAGAAAAGGAGACACAGTCACTGCCCCCTCCACGGCTGGAAAGTCTGATTCAGGAAGATCCAAGCAGCCTTGCAGTTCTTGGGCGTGGCAGTATCTGGCGACTGCCTGCCAAACTGGCTGTAGTCACACCTGGGAAAGACAGCAGCCACTGGCTGGCTGACACAGCTGGCCTCATGGCCCTGACGCAGGGAGTTAATGAAGGTACTGCTACCTACTCATCAGGCCAGATGCCATGCCCTGGGGTGGGCGCCCGCCTGGGAAGCAGAGCTGGCACTGAGTAAGGTCCAGTCAGCTCTAATGGGACTTGGAGAGGGGGCTGGTCTGCCCTGCAGCGCTGTCAGGGTCCTTGGTCAACATCTTTGGATCACATCTCTCATTGCCCAGCCGGGACACAGCTGTGAGGGTATGGGTGGAATCCCCATGTCTGACCAAGGACCCCTCCTGCTCCCCAGCCTCCCTGGATACAAGCTTAGCGATTTGAGGGTCCAGCTCATTTTGACACTTTGAAAGGGAAGGAGGATTAGAGCCCTGGTTTCTTCTCTGGTAGAAAGTAGGTAGGCTGGGCCAAGCCGGGAGCTCAGTGGTAGAGCAGTTGTTTAGTATGTGCAAAGCCTTGGATTCCTTCCCCAGGAGACCCACTACCATCATCACCGTAACAACAAAACAAAAGGACGGTTTGAAGGCACCTCTGTGATCTCAAGCAGGTGATTTCCTCAGTCTCCCTATCTAGCTGTAAAATAACATGGAGATCATAAAGATCTGTCCCCGGTCTAGTTCATGCTTTTTTTTTTTTTTTTTTTTTTTTTTTTTTTTTTTTTTATTTTTTTTTTTTTTTTTTTTTTTTTTTTTTTTTTGGTGCTGATGGAGATTTAATTAACCCAGGGCCTTGTACCTGCTAAGCATAAGTATGTGCTGAACAGCTGAGTTATACCCCTGCTTTCCATAGATTCTGGTGAGATCCAGTGCCTGGCACTCACAAGGTACCTGACCACTACTGCACTCCTCTCCTCTACCCCATCCCTACCTGTTCTTTGTGGCCAGTTGCCCTCCCCCTGTTGCCATGACAATTCCTACCGGAAGACTTCCTGGCGGGAGCCACCTGCCTCAGATTGCCCCACTGCAGCTGGCCTCCTCAGCACTTAGGTGCATTCTTTGCACTAATTCCCTGGGAGACAGAACAACCTGACCCAGAGCAAGGCGCTGACTTGGCAGCAAGGCGTGGTTGCAAAGTCACTTGGGCAAGAATGCTGCCTGATCACTTTCAGGACAGCTTGTGAAGTAGTTTGGGTTGCTGAGAACACCAAATGTCTGACCCCCAGCCTCATTCTTTTCTCCACCCTCTGCCTTGGGCCAGAGACATGCCTCTAGGTAAAGGACCTGTTTCAAGACTTGCAAGTTTTTGAAAAAAAGAGCGAGTAAGAGCCAGCCACGGTGGTGCAGGCCTGTAATCCCAGCACTCGGGAGGCTGAGGCAGGTGTGAATTTGAGGTCAGCCTGGGTTATATAATGAGATCTTGTCTAAAAAAAAAAATTAAAAAAAAAAGGGATGGGGGGATTTGGGCCAGGAATTTAGCTCAGTGGTTCCACCACCTGCCTCGCAAGTGCAAAGTCCCGAGTTCAATCCCTGGTACCAAAAAAGTGACAACAAAAAGGGATTTGCAAGTCCTGTCCTGTGTACCATCATACTCAGGGCTCTCAGACCAGATTCTTCCTCTCCTTATTTGGCTTCCAAGGCTTTCTAAGACCTTGAGTCATCCCCTTTACTTTTTTGTTTATATGTTTGATTATTTTGGTACGGGGGATCAAACTCAGGACCTTGCACTTTTGAGGTGGTGGCAGCATTTAGCTAAATCCCTGGCCCAGGAAAGATCTTACTTTTTAACTTCCAGCCCTGCCATTTTTTAGTACTTCTCCTTTGAGCCTTAGTTGTTTCACCATTTTAAGCCTGAGTTTCCTTGTCTGCAAATTAGTTTTTGCCTCATTTATAAGGAATAAGATGTGTGTGTGTGAGAGAGAGAGAGTGAGATCATCAAAAGAACATGCACGGACTTGAGAATTCAGCCAACCTGGGTCCTAATCTCAGCCTGTCTATAACTTTGGACCTGTTTGTTTCTTAACCTCTCTGTGCCTCCCCATCTGTCAGTGAGAATAGTAATACTCAAGTGTAGGGTTACTCTGAGTTTCATTGGTAACGCATGTGAACCAGCTAACTATACACCCAGCAAATATGAGCGGTAGACACAGTGCCTAGCACAATACAGAATACTCTACTTGCCACTGGAAGGTTAGAATAGCATAGTTTGTAAGTTTAATTTCCAGCTCAGCATTCGCCATTTGTGTGACTTGTGGCAATTATTAGGCCTCTCTGTTTCTGTTTGCCCACCTGTGAAAAGTAATAGTACCTGGGCTGGGAATTTAGCTTAATGGTTCTGCCACCTGCCTCGCAAGTGCAAGGACCCAAGTTTGATTCCCGGTACCAGGAAGGAAAAAAAAAGAAAGTAATAGTACCCGCTTCACACAGTCTTTGTGATTTGGGGGGTGGGGTACTAGGGATTGAATCCATGACCTCCACACAGAGCTATATCACCAGCCATTTTATTTTATTTCATTTCATTTTTGTGACAGTGTCTCACTAAGTCACTAAGTTGCCCAGGCTGGCTGGGCTCAAACTTAGGATCCTCCTGCTAAGTCTCCCAGGATTCTGGGATTACAAGGCATATACAACCATGCCTGGCTAGGGCCAGGGATTTAGCTCAGTGGTTCCATTGCCTGCCTCACAAGCACAAGGTCCTGAGTTCAATCCCTGAAACTGGAAGAAAAAAAAAAAACACCATGCCCCACTGAATTTATATCTTAAGGTATAAAGTTCTTCCATCAGAGCCTGATGTTAGTAAGTTCTGTGCTTAGATTTGCTATTACTATTGTTATTTCTGAATCATTCCTTCGAATGGGCCGTTTTCCAAAGGAAAAACAGTTGGGAAGTGTTCAGTAGTGGTTAATGTTGTATTCATGAGGACGTGGAAGTCTGTAGCACAAACCCTGGAAGCCCGGATCCTGAAAACTCTTCCTGCCCTCCCTTCTCAGGTGGTGCGCAGCAGCCTCGAGGAGCAGGGACTTAGGGTGCACAGTGTACGGCTACATGGCTCGGCTGCCAGCCATGTGCTGCACCCTGAGAGTGGCCTGGGCTACAAGGACCTGGACCTGGTATTCCGGGTGGACTTGCACAGTGAGGCTTGCTTCCAGCTGACCAAGGCTGTGGTGCTAGCCTGCCTGCTGGACTTCCTGCCAGCTGGTGTGAGCCGGGCCAAGATCACGCCATTGACACTCAAGGAGGCATACGTGCAAAAGCTGGTGAAAGTGTGCACAGACACAGATCGCTGGAGCCTCATCTCACTGTCCAACAAGAGTGGCAAGAACGTGGAGCTCAAGTTTGTGGACTCTGTGAGGCGCCAGTTCGAGTTCAGCGTCGACTCCTTCCAGATCATCCTGGACTCTCTGCTGCTTTTTGGCCAGTGCTCATCCACGCCCATGTCTGAGGCCTTCCACCCAACGGTGACAGGTGAGAGCCTGTATGGGGACTTCGCCGAGGCCCTGGAGCACCTACAGCACCGTGTCATTGCCACTCGCAGCCCAGAGGAGATCCGAGGCGGTGGCCTCCTCAAGTATTGCCACCTCCTAGTGCGGGGCTTCCGGCCCCGGCCCAGCACTGATGTGCGTGCCCTGCAGCGGTACATGTGCTCCCGCTTCTTCATCGACTTTCCTGACCTGGCAGAGCAGCAGCGCACTCTGGAGCGCTACCTGGAGGCCCACTTCGGCGAGGGTGACGCCACCCGCCAGTACGCCTGCCTGGTGACACTGCACGGGGTGGTCAACGAGAGCACTGTGTGCCTCATGAACCATGAGCGCTGCCAGACGCTGGACCTCATTGCCACACTGGCGCTCCAGGCACTGGCTGAGCAGGGCCCAGCTGCCACTGCTGCCCTGGCCTGGTGCCCCCCGGGTGCTGACGGGCTTGTGCCGGCCACTGTCAGTTACTACGTGACCCCTGTACAGCCTCTATTGGCTCGGGCCCACTCCTATCCCACCTGGCTGCCTTGTAACTGACTCAGACCCTGGCCAGAAAGGACGAGGCCTCTTGTGCTGGGGCTAACAGGAAGGTGTGGGGGATATGACCAACGACCGGCAGCCTGTGCCAGCTGGCTCAATTCTCCTGCAGGGCTGGGCCTTCATCTGAATACACCAGACTTCCCCAAGTGAGGCTTCTGTGGGTTTAAGGCCAAGCTGATGCTCTTGACAGGAAGACCCTTTGGTCACTGCACCACACCCTGGGACTAGCGTAGTTGTGGGGTACAGGGACTACTTGTTGAAACTATAGTGGCCTTCAGGAGACCGGGTGCAGGCTGGGTGGGTGGTAGATTCAGTGCCCCAAATCTTCAGTTGAATTCCATGGCCTTGAAAGGATCTTTTTGATTACATCAGCCCACAGTTATCCTAGGTATCCTAGTTACCCCCAAGGGCATGCAGCCCATGCACTGGCTAAAATATAGAATGTGACAGATTACTCACTTTGGGTCTGGATGGACCACTGGCAGAGTATGGAGGTCCAACCTGACTAATCACTGGGAGGAGGGAAACGGGGGCATGAGGCAGCTCCTCCAGTTTAGGGAGGGATGGGTTTAACCCCTTCTCCTAAAACCCATACCCCAAGCTGGGGAGCTTTCCTCTTGAGGGGTGGAGCGAGTATGCAGGGGACAGGAGCCAAGCAGCCAGGGTGAGATGCAACCCATGCCCTCCCACTGTGTTGCTCCTTTCCCTTGGGTTGTAGGAGCTCTGCTGCCTGGGAGTGTGCCCTTCAGAGGGTGCTGGTCCAGTACTCCTGCCCAACTGGCCTGGTTGTAGGACTTTTACATCACAGGGGGAACCACATCCCCACCCTCTTTTCCGTTGCTCTAGATTTGCTATTTTGCACCACCTGTCAATAAAGATTCCCTACACGGAGCCCAGCAGCACGCTTTCTCCTGGAAGAAAGATGCGCCATGGGTGTGGAGCTGCCACTGTCTCTTCAGTCTGAGTCTGGCTTTAATAGTGGGAAGTGTCCTGTGCGGGGGAGGGCTTGACGGCTAGGCATGGCTGCAGGACAGCTTCTTCCCACCTACCATTCCCAGCCTGACACCATGAACCTGGAGCTTGTGTCTACAGTGCCTCGGCAAGTCTAGGACTCTTACTGAAGAGGAAGTATTTCCATGTCCCCAGGGTTCCTACTTGAGGTGCTAGCAGCTCCAGACCTAGCCTTACCCTCCCAGTGCCTTGATTCCAGCTCTGCCTACCCCATCTCTCCCCAGGCAGCAGGTGGGGAACAAGCTTGCTGAGTCCAGACCAGGAGAGACTGCTGAGATGGGGGACTTCTAGGTAGTGCACAGGTAGGGCCTCACTGCCTTGGAGAGGCTCCCTGACCCTCTGGCTTTGTCTTCACCTGCAAGTGCAGGTGTTATACACTCTGGCTGACTGTAAGGAGCAGGGTCTCTGTGAACCCAGCAGGGGCTATGCCGGGCTGTCTGAGGGTGCCAGTCGTAAGCCCGCCAGGAGCTGTTCCCTCAGGGCACCAGCCACTCACCCCTGGACGCTGCCCACTGTTTACCCTACCTCTTTGATCCAAGGATCGGAAAGCTTTTAACATAGGGGCCTCATTAAGGGCCTCTGAAGTGGTGACTTTGATGGTTCCAGCCAGGGTGGGGAAGACAAAGCCACAGAAGAGGCCTCAGGTCATCAGGGTGAGTCCAGCCACCTTACCTGTTCCATGGATCTCTGCTGGGTACCCCAGCCCCTTCTGCTCCTAGGCTCTGAGTGGCTGGAAGGGTGACTGGAAAGGCTTTTCTTAGTGATTAAAAATTGTAATCTGTCCCCTTCCCAATAGTGCCAACCCAACTCTGGGTGGAATGTTTGTTCCACTTGGTTTGGCCATTTGAACATAGGTACAAGGGGGCGTACTCAATGTAAATACAACAGGCACGGCTTATTGGAGTCGGGTGGGGATCAGCTGCCTATGATTGGAGAGCACAAGGAAACCAGAAACCTATACGGGTGTGTGTGTGTGTGTGTGTGTGTGTGTGTGTGTGTGTGTGTC